CCCAGAAACCCTAACAGCTGGTAAACTGGTTGGGGTTTCTGGGAGTTGTAAGCCAAAAACATCTAGGGACCACAGGTTGAGAACCACCAATAGATGAAAGAAAAATATGATAGAGAGATAAATAAATAGATGGGTAGATGAATGGAGAGAAAGACAGGCAATCAATAAATGAGAGAAAGATGATGATGATAGATAGATAGATAGATAGATAGATAGATAGATAGATAGATAGATAGGCATATAGTTGGAGAGAAAGACAGTCAGTCAATAAAGGAAAGAGAAATATGATAGAGAGATAAATAAATAGATGAGTAGATGGATGGAGGGAGGCAATCAATAAATGAGAGAATGATGATAGAGGGAGGGAGAAAGAGGGGCAATCAATAGATGAGAGAGAAAGATGATAGATAGATAAATAGATCGGTAGATGGACGGAGAGAAAGAGCAGCAATTAATAGATGGGAGAGAAAGATGAATGATAGACAGACAGACAGACAGACAGATGGTGTTATGTCCTCTTGTGCTATGATATCAAGTTCTGAACACAAACCATAGATAGTACCTTAATTCAACAGGATATATATATATATAAAAAATATAATAAAGCAAAGATATCCCCATGCTACATGATAGACCAAGAATAAACTAGTCTATCCTTTATTCCCTCATCGGAGAATGAGATGCTCTGAACACTATGAGACTTCTTTCTAAGCAGAAATGTATAGAATTGTACTATAAATTGATTTTCTGTGTAAAGCAGAAAAGTGGCTTTTAATGCCTATCCACGGAGCAAATGAGAGTCTTTATGAACTTGAATAAAGAATACTCAACTACTGAAAAAATGACTGAGAGCTGGTGAGATGGCACAGATTAGACTGCCAACAGGTGAATGAACTTCTGCATGGGAAAATTGGGCAAATGAATATTATCTCATTCTTTTGATATATCAGATTTTGCACTTGTCTTTGGTCCTTTGTTTCAGTAGGATTCACTATTATCTGCACATATGGACAGAGAGAGAAAATAATAGCATGCAAACAAAATACCTTTTGATCATAAATATACAAATACTTCTTCTGACACTACTACATGAAGCAATCATAGGTTGAGAACCACTACCCTTAACGGTTTGGGTCTATTTGTCTAATTGCATCTCCTTGTATAGACCAACCCATGCACTGTGGTCAGCAGAAGAGGCCCTGCTCTCAATCCCACCCCTGTCTCAAGCTCAGCTAGTGGGAACGGGAGAGGGGGCCTTCTCTGTGATTGCTCCCCATCTCTGGAACTTCATCCCTAAAGAAAAAGAAAGTGGTCCCCACCCTCCTCTCCTTTAAGAAACCTTTGTAGATGCACTTATGCACTTTAGCATATAGAGAGGAGGAGGACAAAGATCAAGAGAGATATTGACAAGCTGGAATGTGTCCAGAAGAGGGCGACTAAAATGATCAAGGGTCTGGAGAACAAGCCCTATGAGGAGCGGCTTAAGGAGCTGGGCATGTTTAGCCTGAAGAAAAGAAGGCTGAGAGGAGATATGATAGCCATGTATAAATATGTGAGAGGGGGCCACAGAGAGGAGGGAGCAAGCTTGTTTTCTGCTTCCTTGGAGACTAGGATGCGAAACAATGGCTTCAAACTACAAGAAAGGAGATTCCATCTGAACATGAGGAAGAACTTCCTGACTGTGAGAGCTGTTCAGCAGTGGAACTCTCTGCCCCGGAGTGTGGTGGAGGCTCCTTCTTTGGAGGCTTTTAAACAGAGGCTGGATGGCCATCTGTCAGGGGTGATTTGAATGCAATATTTCTGCTTCTTGGCAGGGGGTTGGACTGGATGGCCCATGAGGTCTCTTCCAACTCTTTGATTCTATGATTCTATGACTACTCCACCAGAAAGCTGGTGAACCCATTTGCACTGTATGATGGCTATGATACCTGTGTTAGCCATTTCATATGCAAATCATGTCGAACTGCTTTTAATGATATATGTTTAATGTTTACACACCCTAGTTTATTGTCTTAATTGGTTTATCCCCCATGTCAACATTTAATTTTTTTATTATAAGTTTATTGCTGTTATTATGTATTAGAATCATAGAACCATAAAGTTGGAAGAGAGCTCATGGGCCATCAAGTCCAGCCCCCTTCCAAGAAGCAGGAAAATCACATTCAAAGCACCCCCGACAGATGGCCATCCAGCCTCTGTTTAAAAGCTTCCAAAGAAGGAGCCTCTGCCACACTCCGGGGCAGAGAGTTCCACTGCTGAACTGCTCTGGCAGTCAGGAAGTTCTTTCTTATGTTCAAATGGAATCTCCTCTCTTGTAGTTTGAAGCCATTGTTCCATTGCGTCCTAGTCTCCAGGCAGCAGAAAACAAGCTTGCTCCCTCCTCCCTGTGGCTTCCTCTCACATATTTATACATGGCTATCATGTCTCCTCTCAGCCTTCTCTTCTTCAGGCTAAACATGCCCAGCTCTTTAAGCCGCTCCTCATAGGGCTTGTTCTCCAGACCCTTGATAATTTTAGTCGCTCGTTATTTGGTATTATTCCTTATGTTGTTTGTTACTTTGTAAGGCATTGAATGTTTGCTTGTTTTTGTGCTGTAAAGCGCCTGAGTCCATTTTGGGAGATAATTGCAGTCTAGAAATAGGTTTATTTATTTATTTATTTTGTATCAAAAGCATTGCATAAAATAGTATAAAACTGATAAAAATAGGAGAGCAGGTGGCTAAATATCTTTTGACCAAAAATGGGCAACAGCAACGGCATTGCCTGTAGCCTCCAACAATTCTTCCTCAATTCTTCAACAATTCTTGCATAATATGAGGCAGGGCATAGTGGACAAGCATATAGATGCTGAGTTGTCTGTTCTGCTCCACAGTCACACAAGGTGTGGGATTCTTTTAGGTAGTGCCATTTTGCCAGGTTGTCTTTTGATCTGCCCACTCCACTTCTGAGTCTGTTCAGGGACTTCCAAGTTGCCCATTCTTGGTTTGCACCTGGAAATAGGTAAAGGTAAAGGTTTCCCCCTGACATTAAGTCCAGTTGTGTTCGAGTCTGGGGGTTGATGCTCATCTCCATTTCTAAGGCATTGTCTGTAGACACCTCCAAGGTTATGTGGCCAGCATGACTGCATGGAGCACTAGAAATAACATATTATTATCATCATAATCATAATCATGGGATTTTTACATACTTCACTTTTCTTTCAATATATGACAAAGACCACTCACAAGATGCACACATTGTCCCTGAGACAAGCCACGTTCCTCTAATCCAGGCATTTTGCATCATCTCTCATCAAATAGATGTTTTGCTTTGTCTTTAGCTTCCTTGTTCATCACTCAAGGTGAAATCAGGTCAAGCTTTGGATCCTACTTTTGTCCATATTGACTTAGCCGTGGAAGGTTTTCCCCACTTGCAGCTCCACCACCACCACCAAAAATGTATTTGTGCTTCTGCAAACATTGTCAAACCCTTAAAATCTGCTGCTACCAACCTCCTGTGTGGAGTTAGGGTCACTTGGGTTATACAAAGATCTGCACTCAAAGAAGGTACTTCTTATTAATTCATAGGAGACCAGGTCTGTCAACATTCGCACATGGTGCGAAATGGCCTGTTTCAACCAGTGCAAAATGAATGTTTGCTAAGCAAATGTAGGTGGGCCAGTCTCGCTCTGAAATCAAACACTGCTCTTAACTCCCACAAACTTTTTGTTAGAACTTTTAAGAAAGCTTCGTTACCTTATATCGGTCAAGAGAAAAATATGTTGATCCTCTCGTAAAGCTATGCTAGCCTTTGGGATTTATAGCTCGAGCCGTGATTGTCTGGTTCAATACGATTGTTGGAAAGTTACATCATTGTAAACTGACATACAATTTATTGTCGAAGGCTGCCATGGGTGGAATCACTGGGTTGTTGTAGGTTTTTCAGACTACATGGCCATGTTCTAGAACAGTGCTTCTCAACCTGGGGGTCAGGACCCCTGGAGGGGTCACAAGGGGGTGCCAGAGGGGTCACCAAAGATCACCAGAAAACTGTATTTTCTGTTGGTCGTGGAGGTTCTGTGTGGGAAGTTTGGCCCAATTCAATCGTTGGTAGGGTTCAGAATGCTCTTTGATTGTAGGTGAACTATAAATCCCAGCAACTACAACTCCCAAATGTCAAGGTCTATTTTCCCCATACTCCACTAGTGTTTATATTTGGACATATTGAGAATTCGTACCAAGTTTGGACCAGACCCATCATTGTTTGAGTCCACAGTGCTCTCTGGATGTAGGTAAACTACAACTCCCAAAACTCAAGGTCAGTGCCCACCAAACCCTTCCAGTATTTTCTGTTGGTCATGGGAGTTCTGTGTGCCAAGTTTGATTCAGTTCGTTGGTGGAGTTCAGAATGCTCTTTGATTGTAGGTGAACTATAAATCGCAGCAACTACAACTCCCACAGGACAAAATCAATACCCTCCCCCAATCCCACCAGTATTCAAATTGGGTATTTGTGCCAAATTTGGTCCAGTATATGAAAATACATCCTGCATATCAGATATTTACATTACTATTCACAACAGCAGCAAAATGACAGTTATGAAATAGCAACTAAACTAATTTTATGGTTGGGGGTCACCATAACATGAGGAAGCGTATTAAGGGGTCGTGGCATTAGGAAGGTTGAGAACCACTGTTCTAGAAGCATTCTCTCCTGATGTTTCACCTACATCTATGGCAGGCATCCTCAGAGGTTGTGGGGTGCTTTGAATGCAATCTTCCTGCTTCTTGGCAGGGGGTTGGACTGGATGGCCCATGAGTTATCTTCCAACTCTACGATTCTATGATTCTATTCTATGATTCTAGGGCTTTTCTTTATTCCTTGAGTATATTTGTTATTATTATTTTTTACTACTATATACTTGTGCTACTAGGCGGGAATGAAATAATGAGACTGTTTATGCCCTTAATATGACTTTATCAACACAATGTCTTCAATTCTGTACATCTATATTTTTTACAGGCCCACAACAGAAACCTGCTTTCCATCGATTTTGATCACATAACAAGAACGGGGAAGATCTATGATGACCATCGCAAATTTACTCTTCGGATCCTGTATGACCAAGCAGGCCGTCCAATTCTTTGGTCCCCCATCAGTAAATACAATGAGGTCAATATCACTTACTCGCATTTGGGACTAGTGACCTATATCCAGAGAGGAACATGGACTGAAAAGATGGAGTATGACCCAGGTGGGAAGATTGTTTCCAGAACATGGGCGGATGGGAAAATATGGAGCTACACCTACTTAGAAAAGGTAAATCTTGGGGGCAGATGAATGTATTGTCGAAGGCTTTCATGGCTGGAATCACTAGGTTCTTGTGGGTTTTTTCGGGCTATAGGGCCATGTTCTAGAGGCATTTCTCCTGACGTTTCGCCTGCATCTATGGCAAGCATCCTCAGAGGTCGTGAGGTCTGTTGGAATTAGGACAATGGGTTTATATATCTGTGGAATGGCTGGGGTGGGGCAAAGAGCTCTTCTCTGCTAGAGCTAGGTGTGAATGTTTCAACTGGCCACCTTCATTAGCATTTGAAGGCCTGCCTGAGTCTGGGAAAATCTGGGGAAAACACCTCTCAACAAAAGATTTTCCCAGGCTCAGGCAGGCCTTCAAATGCTAATGAAAGTGGTCAGTTGAAACATTCACACCTAGCTCTAGCAGAGAAGAGCTCTTTGCCCCACCCCAGCCATTCCACAGATATATAAACCCATTGTCCTATTTCCAACAGACCTCACTACCTCTGAGGATGCTTGCCATAGATGCAGGCGAAACGTCAGGAGAAATGCCTCTAGAACATGGCCCTATAGCCCGAAAAAACCCACAAGAACCTGGCAGATGAAATGTTTGTAAAGACTGCAGGGCAAATCTGGATATGCAACTGAACCAATTACTTCTCCCTTTCTGAAACCTCAAAAAAAAGGAGTGGAATTAAATATTTAGGGATCTTGATTGGACAGACCTGGATGCCATTTTTAGGCTTCCAAATACAGCAGGCCCTCTACTTTTGTGAAGGTTAGCAGTAAAGTTGAAAGCCCACTGTGCTCAACTCTTTGTTTTTAACTTTTTTATTTTATTTCATACCCTATGTTTACCCTAGTGTATTATTTTTATTATTTTTATTTTATTTTGTCTTATTGTTGTATACATTTTATTTTGTCTTATTGTAATTGTTGGGCTTGGCCTCATGTTAGCAGTCCCAAGACCCTGTAGGGGGATGGTGGCAGGGTATAAATAAAGTTGTTATTATTATTATTATTATTATTATTATTATTATTATTGGAAAAAACTACTAACAAAGAGCACATTTTTATCTGAAACATCTCTATGAATCTGTAGATTCTACAGTGTGATACTTTCTGGAAATCTAGGTCATCAAGCATGACACTATGATCTGCTTCCACTGGATGTTGATGTTGCACCTCAGAGTAGATTCACCAAACTGTACACAGCCAGAAGTCTTTATGATTTATTAAAAATAAAAGGTAAAAGGTTCTTAAAAGCAAAGGTTAATGTTCCCAAAAATCAATATAACATAGCACTTGAAGCTTAATCCAAAAGGTATCAGCAAAGCAAGACCCATGGTTCATGGTTTGTGGAACCATGAACACAAAGACTACGAGATAATCCAGCCTAGTTTAGGCAAGCTCCTTAGGTAAATGCAAAGTTGCTTTGACAAAGATCTGGTCACAAACATCCGGTTTAATATCCTTTGCAAAACATGAAAGCGTTTCTTTGGCCTCTGGCCTCCCTCTTGTTAGCTATCCTCTCACTCCTTCGAATTTGGAATTCCAACCGGTCAGCCTGATCTAAAGTTCCCATATCGTCAAGGTCAATCTGTTCATTAGTGTCAGCCTGTTTTCCTGCTTGCTCATTATCAGGCTGAGAACCAAGCGGAGAGCTATCCTCCTTCTCGAAGTCTATTTGCACCTGACTGCTATCTTCAGTTTCCACACTCTCATGCCTTGCTGTGGGAAACTGCACTTCTTCACTGTCTATAGCAGGGACATTTTGAACCAAACTGTGGGCCTGAGTCCCATCATCCTCATCAGAAACACTCTCTGATTCCAGCTGAGTCACAACAGTTGACTTGAAGTCCTATAAATACCAGGTGAATTTATCTCAAGAAATCTCTAGGTCCTGCAATGCAACTCTGTGATGGAAAGCAAACATAGTGTCATGCTTGATAACCAAAAGATTTCCACAGAGAACATACTAATCAAATCCACAAATAATCCAGTCTGCAAAAGGTGAATCCAGAAATGTTGGGGCCAGCATTGGTAGATGTCCTCAAGCAACAGCCATGACCAGGTTTCGGTTATTATTGTGTCCATAGAAAACTGAAGCTTGTTGAATACTATGTCTGCAAGAGAGCTCTGAAAATATTCCTCTAAATCTCACACTTTCCCAAATGGTGTCCAAGATATGTTGTTGATTAAATATTATTTTCCATTATAGTTGTCACAATAATGTGTGCAAGAGAAAGAGAAAGATAGTGTTGTATTTGGCATCATGGTTTGCTATTTTTGTCATGTTTTCATTGCCACCCTTGAGTCCTCTGTCATTCACAGAGGGCTTTGGGGGGATGCAGAATCACCTGTCAGTTGAGCAGAATATAGCGAAGGGAACGAACAGTGGGAGTCTGTCTTGTGCTCCTTGGAAAGGACCCCTGCTAGTCTTACTTTCTTGAAATCTGAAACGGAACGGAAATCTCCAGGGTGCCAGGTGTCATTCTCCAGCAGGCAGAGGACACTTGACATTTGACTGCTGGTGGGCAGATACGTGGGTGCCTGAGCATAATACTGTAGAAACTTGAAGTATAGTTTGGTTTCAAATTATAAAAAAGGAAATTCCACCTAAATAATAAGAAAAACTTTTTTATTGTAAGAGCCGTTCAATGGTGGAATGGATAGCTCAAGAAGATAGTGGACTCTCCATCTTTGGAGGGCTTTAAACAAAACTTTGGTGGAAAAGGGTGCTTTATTCAGCAAGGCAAGAAAGCTGAGGCTCCCCCCGGACTGCTAGGGCTGTTGTGAGCTGAGGTGGCGCTCCTCAAGTGGTGGTCGAGGGGCATTTACAGAGGCGCCTCTGCGCCCCTGGCAAAAAAAGTGTTCTGCGACCGCTTACTTCGCGTAATGGACGAGCCGCCCCTGCATATAGATTACTTCAACATGCTCTATGTGGGGTTGCCTTTGAAGACTCTTCGGAAGCTCTAACCGGTCCAGCGAGCGGCAGCCAGGTTGCTCACTGGAGCGGCACTCAGGGAGCACATAACTCCCCTGATGTCAGCTCCACTGGCTGCCAGTTTGCTACCAAGCACAATTCAAAGTGCTGGCCTTAGCCTATAAAGCCCTAAATGGTTCCGGCCCAGACTACCTATCCGAACATATTGTCCCCTACAAACCAGCCATAGATTAAGATCTCCTGAGGAAGCCCAGCTCTCAGTCCCACTGGCCTCACCAGCGCAGCTGGTGGGGACGAGAGACAGGGCCTTCTCAGTGGTGGCCCCTCTATTGTGGAACTCCCTCCCTAGCAACATCAGAGCAGCTCCCTCCCTATTAGCCTTTAGGAAAAGAGTCAAAACCTGGCTCTGTGAGCAGACCTTTGGAAACGAAGGCAATGCAGTATTTTTTAATTGAAAACTCATGCAATTGACCTTGGAACAGACTCAGACCATGAACTTGGATAGCGTGTTTTCTAAGTTTTAAACTTTTAAAATTTGTTTTAATATGTTGCAATTTTTGGAATGTTTAGGTGATTGTGTTGAGGCACGACGTTGTGACATTATAAGCCGCCTTGAGTGCCCCTGTCAGGGTAGAAAAGGGCAGGATACAAGTATGGCAAATAAATAAATAAAATAATTTCAGAAATAGATAGAGATAATAGAGAAGGTGGGGAGATGGTTCTGAAATGAAAGAAACATTTTTGTCAAAAGCATTCCTTTTCAAATTGAGAAATGTCTTTTTTATATGATATAATTATTGACTGTTTGTGTGTGCCAACCATCCTGGGGGCATGGGATTTCTTTGAAAAGTTTAGGTACCTAGCTAGAATTGGTATTCTTTCTCCCCATAAGCCATACTAAGGATCCCAAATTGACCACTGTGGTTTGTGATTACAAAGCAAAAAACGAGAATCTGAAACCATGGTTTGTGGTGACTATGGTTTGGCATGATGCCCGAATGGACAAGCCATAGTTAATATAGCCACCGCTCTACCTCCAGAGGCTGCTGCACCACAGAGATGGGAGTAAACATATGAAGCTGAGTGCTGAGAGGATGAAAAAAGAAGGCAGGCATGCTGCTCTAAACCAGGGTCTGCCCATGGTAGGTTTAAAACTTCAAACCATGGTTTGTGGTCTAGACTAAAACGAAGGCAAACAATGGTTTGACATGATGTCTGATTTTACCTAGCTGTGCTTCACCTTCTGTGGCTTGTCTCAGTGCATTTGTGTGTGTTCCATAAAACTGTTCTTAGCAATCCAGGGAGATTTCCAGCAATTGCTGTTAAACGTGGGAAAGAGAAGGAAGAGGATTCCATTTAGTTATCTACCTCCCTTAAAGAGGGCTTTTAGGGCTAAATTACATGTTAAATGAATGATATTTGACTCTCGATATCTATTCTATTCTCCTATAAGTGGAAGCAATCATAAGGGAACTATGTTTTGGATCAGAGTTTTGATGGTTGGAGAGCCAACCCTTATGTTGTTGCTGACTTTCAAATTGATTTATGACGACCATATTCTAGGGCATCATTTCTCAACCTGGGGGTCGGAACCCCCTGGGGGGTCATGAGAGGGGTGTCAGAGGGGTCGCCAAAGACCATCAGAAAACACAGTATTTTCTGTTGGTCATGAGGGTTCTGTGAGGAAAAATTGGCCAATTCTCTTATTGGTGGGGTTCACCTACAATCAGTGCTTTTTGATTGTAGGTGAATTATAAATCCCAGCAACTACAACTCCCAAATGTCAGGCCTATTTTCCCCATACTCCACCAGTGTTCAAATTTGGGCATATGGAGTATTTGTGCCAAGTTTCGTCCAGACCCATCATTGTTTGAGTCTATAATGCTCTCTGGATGTAGATGAACTACAACTCCAAAACTCAAGGTCAATCCCCACCAAACTCTTTTTGACTCATGATCAACAGTATTTTCTGTTGGTCATGGAAGTTCTGTGTGCCAAGTTTGGTCCAATTCCATCGTTGGTGGAGTTCAGAATGCTCTTTGATTGTAGGTGAACTATAAATCCCAGCAACGACAACTCCCAAATGACAAAATCAATCCCCCTGCCAACCCCACCAGTATTCAAATTTGTGCATATCAGGTATTTGTGCCAAATTTGGTCCAGTGAATGAAAATACATCCTGCAGATCAGATATTTACATTACGATTCATAACAGCTATGAAGTAGAAATGAAAATAATATTATGGTGGGGGGGGGGTCACCACAATATGAGGAATTATATTAAGGGGTTGTGGCATTAGGAAGGTTGAGAAACACTGTTCTAGAGTAAGATTCACCTAGAGGAGGTTTGCCCTTGACTTCCTCCAAGGCTGAGAGTGTGAGGTGCCCAAGGTCACTAGTTGGGTTCCATGGCTGAGGAGATACTCCAACCTTGCTTTCCTTCAGCACTGAAAGCGTTGCTCCATGTTATTCAGCAATAAGAACATAAGACTCACATTCTCTGACTTGGGAAAACGGAGTGATTTTATGCCATTAGCGTTACCATATTGTTATGAGATACAGTAGCAAATCCTCTGTCCTATAACTCCTGGCCTTTCTCTTTCAGTCTGTAATGCTTCTGCTGCACAGCCAACGGCGTTATATCTTTGAGTACGACCAATCGGACTACCTCCTGTCTGTTACCATGCCAAGTATGGTGCGCCATAGCTTTCAGACCATGCTCTCTGTTGGATACTATCGCAATCTCTATTCCCCGCCAGACAGCGGTGTGTCTTTCATCCAGGATTACACCAGGGATGGACGGCTTCTGCGAACTCTCTACCCAGGAACGGGCCGCAGGGTCCTTTACAAATACACCAAGCAGTCCAGGCTTTCTGAGATCCTGTATGACACCACCCAAGTCTCCTTTACTTACGAAGAGTCCTCTGGAGTTATCAAAACAATCCACCTGATGCACGACGGATTTACTTGCACTATCAGATACAGGCAAACAGGTAGGTGACAAGCATACGTATGTGTTTCACCTCTGTCTAGGTCTCAATCTGTGGGTCCCCAGATGTTTTGGCCTCCAATTCCCAGAAATCCTAACAGCTGGTAAACTGGCTGGGATTTCTGAGACTTGTAGGTCAAAACATCAGGGGACCCACAAGATGAGAACCACTGGTCTAGGTGGTTACTTTTGGGAAAATGGCATTCATAACCTTTTTGAAAAAGAAAAATGATGTCATATCCTTTTGGCAAATGTGAATCTCCATGAACATCTGGAGACCCCCTTTTGGAAACTACTAGTCTGTTCTGGTCCAACTTACATGTCTGAACGCATCTCCCCTTATGAACGCATCCCCCCTTATGAACTTTAAGATCATCTGGGGAGGCCCTGCTCTAGTCACCGCCTTTGTCACAAGTATGTTTGGCGGAGACAAGAGACAGGGCCTTCTCGGTGGTGGCCCCTCAGCTGTGGAACGCTCTCCTTATAGATATTAGATCGGCCACCTTCTTTTTAACATTCCGGAAAAGAGTCAAGACGTGGCTTTTGAACAAGCGTTTGCAAATGCAGAATAACTGACATAAGAAAATGGAACAACGACAATGAGACCGGACAACTTTTTTAATAAGGCAACACTATGATTTTTTTTATTTTATTGATATGTTTGATTTTTATTATATGTTATGTTTTTAATTGTATTTATGATATTGTAAGCATTGAATTTTACCCTGTTAACCGCCTTGAGTCACCTACGGGCTGAGAAAGGAGGTATACAAATAGAGAAAATAAATAAATAAATAAATAAATAGTCAAGGAAAGGCATTACCTTGTTAGAAGTCAACTCTTTGAAAAAGTGATGTTCACAGGCATTCATGTAATGGCACACAGGTAACTCAGCTGTTAAACTGATGGACCATGTCTTTTGAACTGTCAGGGACAAAGACATGCCACTGCACAAAACAAAAACATATACTTAGCTAGCAAGTTTTGAAAATGTTTCAAAAGTTGAAGTTGAAATTGCAGTCGCCCAAAACATATAGTCTCCCTTAAAACCTCTTAGTTTAAAAATATGCACCCAGAGACCAAAACCAAAGTCTTCTTTAAAAAGTAACATATCTTGTTTATTCACAAATATGTTGTATTAATTCAGGACACAGGAACATTTATAGATAGGATGTAGTTTCTCTGTGTGAACACAAGGCATCATTCTTACTAAATAGTCCATTCTCCAAAGACTTTAAGTTTACATCTTATGAAAGTCCAAACTGTATTAAGTGTACTCACTGCTTCACAAAGCAAGCATATAGCAAACTGTTCCTGCATAAGTCCAAAAGACATCTGCTTCTATTAAAGTCCAAAAGCATCCTGCATCCACCTCCACTGAAGTCTAAAGCGAACTGCTAACAGTGAAGTTCAAAATCATACGGATAACAAAATGGAGTCTTGAGTCTGAACATGCTCAGTACAATCCCATGTCTGTAGCCCCTCCGGCACCAAAGAGGTGAGTCAAACAGGCAAATCAATATATACATACAATACAGGTTAGCAAATATATACATTAACAAACAAATAGTGAAGGCTTAAATGGTTCCTATTTCCAATAGTTACTTTTTACTTTTCTCTTCTTTATTTGATCTGCTTTTTCAAATGTGTGCACTTTGCTTAATTATTCCTTAATTATTTTGTGTTGTTTGCATTCAGGCCCACTTATTGGTCGCCAGATTTTCAGATTTAGCGAAGAAGGTCTCGTGAACGCCAGGTTTGACTACAGTTACAACAACTTCCGTGTGACCAGCATGCAAGCCATGATAAACGAAACGCCTCTTCCCATTGATTTGTACCGCTATGTGGATGTGTCTGGGAAAACGGAACAATTTGGGAAATTCAGCGTAATCAATTATGATTTAAACCAAGTGATAACCACCACTGTGATGAAGCATACCAAAATTTTCAGTGCCAATGGCCAAGTGATTGAAGTGCAATATGAAATCCTTAAATCCATCGCCTACTGGATGACCATTCAGTACGATAATATGGGCCGGATGGTCATTTGTGATATACGAGTCGGAGTAGATGCCAATATAACAAGATACTTTTACGAATATGATGCCGATGGTCAGCTTCAGACCGTCTCCGTGAATGATAAAACCCAGTGGCGTTACAGCTATGACCTCAACGGAAACATCAACTTACTTAGCCATGGGAATAGTGCGAGGCTTACTCCTCTCAGGTATGACCTCAGAGATCGCATCACAAGACTTGGAGACATTCAGTACAAAATGGATGAAGATGGCTTTCTGAAGCAAAGAGGAAATGACATCTTTGAATACAGCTCTAATGGTTTCCTGACCAAAGCGTACAACAGGATTGCTGGGTGGACCGTCCAGTATTACTACGATGGGCTCGGGCGGCGGGTGGCCAGCAAGACAAGTTTGGGACAGCACCTCCAATTCTTTTATGCAGACCTCTCCAATCCTGTAAGAGTGACACACTTATACAATCACAGTAGTTCAGAAATAACATCCCTGTATTATGACCTTCAGGGTCACTTGATTGCTATGGAGTTGAGCAGTGGCGAAGAATATTATGTTGCCTGTGACAACACTGGGACTCCTTTAGCTATCTTCAGTAGTCGTGGTCAAGTGATCAAAGAGATTCTCTACACGCCTTACGGGGAGATCTATCAGGACTCCAATTCGGATTTCGAGGTCATTGTTGGTTTCCATGGAGGGCTGTATGACCCGCTGACGAAACTGGTGCACCTGGGGCAAAGGGATTACGACGTCATCGCTGGCCGCTGGTCAACACCAAACCATCACCTCTGGGAAGAACTGAAGAATGTCCCCAAGCCGTTCAATCTGTATGCATTCAAAAACAACTACCCAGCGGGCAAGATCCAAGATGTGGCTAAATATACAACAGGTACAGAATTTAATAAAAGGGAAACATATCATTCTGGGCAAAGCCTTGCATAATGGGATGGGGAAGCACTTTGGAAGCACTTTACCCTATCTTCTAGAGCAATTAAACCTCACTTTCATCCCTCTGATCCTCTGTCTAGATCAGGGGTCCTCAAACTAAGGCCCAGGGGCCGGAAATGGCCCTCCAAGGTCATTTACCCGGCCCTCGCTCAGGGTCAACCTCAGTCTGAAACGACTTGAAAGCACACAACAACAACAACAACAACAACCTATCTCATCAGCCAAAAGCAGGCCCACACTTCCCATTGAAATACTAAAAAGTTTATATTTGTCAGAATTGTTCTTCATTTTAATTATTGTCTTGTTTTAAGTGTTTATTGCACTCCAAATGAGATCTGTGGAGTGTGCATAGAAATCCATTCATGGGTTTTTTTTCACATTATAATCCGGCCCTCCAACAGTTTGAGGGACTGTGACCCAGCCCTCTGTTTACAAAGTTTGAGGACCCCTGGTCTAGATACAATGCATGGCCTGCTTACCCAGTGTTTTTAAACTTTTAATCCTTGTAACTCGCCTTGGCCAATTACTGTGACCTTATAGTTGGTGTGTTTATTTATATTGTTATTTTATTTATTTATATTGTTATTTTATTTATTTATTTATTATTTTGATTATATTTTACTGTTTGTATTTTATGTTATATATTTGATTTGTTGTACTGTATATTTGTTGTACTGTATATTTGCTTTGTTGTACTGTTGGGCATGGCCTCATGTAAGCCGCCCCAAGTCCCCTTGGGGAGATGGTGGCAGGGTGTAAATAAAGTATTATTATTATTAGGGCTTATTATTATTATGAGCCTCCTTAATGTACTCCTTGTTGCAGAATTAATATCAAAAACAGTCCACAATGTAGTTCTTGCAAGCCGAATGGGGGACTGCATGAGAGCCAGAGGACAATTTGTGAACATGTGCATCAACCAAATCACCTGGAATCACACATCTGTGATCAGCATTCACAGTCCCTATCTGTCTGCAATGATAACATTCCATCCAATCGTTTTTCACTAAGCAGCAGCCAATGCAAGCAATGGAGGTCTGTTCTCTTGTCGATTGGGGTGCAGCATTCTGACATTTCCATGACCTTCCCACCAGCAATCTCCAACGTAAGATGGAATTATAACATGGATCTTGCTTCTGTTTGTCATGTTGAAGATCATATAAGACAAAAAGAATGGAAATGCCAATCAACTCTGCCCTGATCACAAGGAGAACAGATCTCTATCACTCACAGCAGATGTTTCCCAATAAAGCAGGAGATGCTTTTTTGTTAAGTCAATTTAGCTAAATAGCTGATCTAGGATTCCAGGCAATATATTTAATATGGTTATCCCATGATTATCCCTGGGCCCCCTGGTAGTGCAGTGGGTTAACTGCTGAGCTGCTGAACTTGCTGACCAAAAGGTCAGCAATTCGAATCCATGGAGCGAGGTGAGCTCCCGCTGTTAGCTCCAGCTTCTGTCAACCTAGCAGTTCGAAAACATGCAAATGTGAGTAGATCAATAGGTACCACTTCTACAGGAAGATAACGGTGCTCTATGCAGTCATACTGGCCACATGACCTTGGAGGTGTCTATGGACAATGCCGGCTCTTCAGCTTAGAAATGGAGATGAGCACCACTCCACAGGGTCAGACATGACTAGACTTAATGTCGTGGGGAAACCTTTATGTTTACTTTGCTTTTCTGGAAGCTTTACATCAGCTTGCAATGCAATAAGAAAGGCGAAGATAGTCTATGTCTTTAGGTTTTCAACACAAAAGGACAAGGGAAATAGGGCCCAGAAATGAAAGCAAGGAAACCAATGCAGAAGTATTTAAAATAATGAAACTGATCAGGTTAGTTGAAATGCTTATTGCTAGTCGGACATCGCTAGACTTAATGTCAAGGGGAGACCTTTATCTTGACCTATGCTTCTAATGTTCAACATATTAATTGTATTGTTTTTTTTAATCTTCTAGACATCGGAAGTTGGCTTGAATTGTTTGGGTTTCAACTCCACAATGTACTTCCTGGATTCCCCAAACCAGAGGTGGATGCTTTAGAAACAACATACGAACTGGTACAACTGCAAACAAAGACCCAGGAATGGGATCCAGGAAAGGTTCGCACAAATAACTGTTTATGATTTCGAGAAAAGAATAAAGTGGCATATTACTTGTCAGAACAGCAGCAGCTGTATATTTATTTGCTTTATATTCTGCTTTATCTTTTGGTTTACTAGTTGAAATAATTACTGCTAAGCTACTACTAATGATAATTAAGGCATCTAAAGCAACATGAAACACAAACATTTAAAAATTTTAAAAAGTACTGAACAATCAGTCCAATTACATTACTGTGACGACATTAATATAAAACGAAAACTCTGAGTGCAGTCATTTGCAGCATATATGCAGATTTACTTTGCTTTGTTGTTGTTGTTTTTTTCAAAGAAGAATTTGCCACAATTTCCTATTTATATTTGGTATGGGAAGAAGTGATTATACATGTCTGAACGTGAAAGAGATGAATAGTGAGAAATCAATCCTTTTCAAGAGTGAGTGGATTCTTCCTTCTGCTGAGTACTTGAAAACGCGGGCTGGAAATGCAATATATCTGGCAGTGTTAGTACTGAATTCAACTTACTATTTTCCTTGCAGAGTGGCTCATAGTTAACACTTCCACAGAAATCACCTTGAAATGAGTCTCCCAATGATATTCATAGAAGTACATCATTCACATGTATCACACCAACAAACTTCCATCCATTCTATTATGAAGGAACTGTATTAGAATTGCAGAATCATAGAGTTGAAAGAGAGAGACCTTGTGGGCCATCCAGTCCAACCCCCTGCCAAGAAACAGGAAAATTGCATTCAAACACCTCCGACAGATGGCCATCCAGCCTCTGTTTCAAAGCCTCCAAAGAAAGAGCCTCCACCACACTCCGAGGCAGAGAGTTCCACTGCTGAACAGCTCTCACAGTTAGGAAATTCTTCCTAATGTTCAGTGGAATCTCCTTTCCTGTAGTTTGAAGCTATTGTTCCATATCCTAGTCTCCAGGGCAGCAGAAAATAAGTTCGCTTCCTCCTCTCTATGACTTCCCCTGACATCTTGATCCATGGCCCTCATCATGTCTCCTTTCAACCTTCTCTTCTGCAAGCTAAACATGCCCAGCTCTGTAAGCCACTCCTCATGGGGCTTGTTCTCCAGACCCTTTATTATTTTAGTTGCACTCCTGTGGACACATTCCAGCTTGTCAACATCTCCTTTCAATTGCAGTGCCCAGAATTGGACACAGTGTGATTCCAGGTGTGGTCTAACCAAAGCAGAATAGAGGGATAGCATGACTTCCCTGGATCTAGACACCATACTCTTATGTATGCAGGCCAAAATCCCATTGGCTTTTAAAGCTACCGAATGCATTGTTGGTGTTGGGGATTCCTCATCTTCGGAAGAGGAAAGGGAGCAGGGAAGTACTGAGAAATTGGAGGGAGAAGAATAATCAGACGTTGAGGGTTTGAAAGTGTCCACATTTCTAGAGAGACAAAAAGAGACAGAGCATAGGTGGTGTTCAGCCAGAATAGCTGCTAAAAACGCTGAGCTAATTGGGAGACACCCTAGCTTCTCCTACATGGGGAATTCAGAGGCAGAAGCAGTCAGCTTTCGCTGGTAACAATGATCCTGATGCTGATGTTTTCACTCCAATGGAATCTGCTTTGTGTCTGCTGCTAAGGACTTAGTTCATTGCCCATTGTCTGATGGAAGACTGGTGTTTCGTTTGGGACTTTGTAAGACACTTTAATTTGTGTCTGGATTAAGACTTCCATGCTTTCTTTTGCACTTTTCAATTGCATTTGCTTATCCTTTGTGTTTCCTGAAGCAAAGCATTTTCTTTTACTTTCAACATTGTCTAAAGGCTGTTTTTGAAGGGCAACTCAGGACAGTTCATGTTTAACTTGTTTTCTATGAGAAGATCTTTTTCACACGTACTGCTGTTGAGCCAGGCATCCCCCATTCTGTATCTTTGCATTTCATTTTTTTTTCAGCCTAAGTGGAGTGTCTTCCATTTCTCCCTGTTGAACTTCATTCTGTTAGTTTTGACCCAACTCTCTATTCTGTAACAGCAATATTAAAATATTTACTTTCTATGTGGTTTCTGTCCTCTTTTCCAGACTGTACTTGGCATTCAGTGCGAACTACAAAAGCAACTCAAGAACTTCATTTCCTTGGACCAGCTGCCCATGACTCCCAAATACAGTGACGGGCGATGTGTGGAGCGATCCAAACAAGCCAGATTTGCTGCCGTTCCCTCGGTGTTTGGGAAAGGCATCAAATTTGCCATCAAGGATGGCTTGGTGACAGCTGACGTCATTGGGGTAGCCAACGAAGACAGCCGCCGCATTGCCGCCATCCTCAACAATGCCCACTACCTGGAAGACTTGCACTTTACAATTGATGGGCGGGACACACACTATTTCATCAAGCTGGGCTCTCTGGAGGAGGACCTGGCCGTCATCGGAAACACGGGGGGACGGCGGATTTTGGAGAACGGCGTCAACGTCACTGTGTCTCAAATGACTTCCGTCATCAACGGGAGGACTAGACGGTTTGCCGACATCCAGCTTCAACATGGTTCTTTGTGCTTCAACGTTCGGTACGGGACGACTGTCGAAGAAGAAAAGAACCATGTCTTGGAGATCGCCAGGCAGAGAGCTGTGGCTCAGGCTTGGACTAGGGAACAGCGGCGGCTCCAAGACGGAGAAGAAGGTATTAGGGCTTGGACAGAAGGGGAAAAACAGCAGCTCTTGAGCACAGGGAAAGTACAAGGCTACGACGGATATTTTGTTTTATCTGTAGAGCAGTATCTGGAACTTTCTGACAGTGCCAACAATATTCACTTTATGAGACAGAGCGAAATAGGCAGGAGGTAACAAACAAAAATAAACACTCAATCTCTGCCTTTGCATCACCAAAGACTGCCTGTTTTTAAGAAAACAAAAACATTACGTAAAGGTTTATTGTATTGGTTTTTCTAGATCAGAACTCTGTGTATATATAAATATAGATGGGGAAAACATATCCAACTGCCTTTAAATGTGACAGAAGATGGTATTTTAATATAGTTTGTTTAAACTCTTGGGGAGATGGTGAGGATTTTTAGTTCGAGGGGGCTGCGTTCAACATTTGGAAGCAGCATTCCCCATGTTGATCTCTATCCAGAAATGGTTCACATGGGCAAAGTATTTACAGTGCAATCCTATCCATGTCTACAGGGAAATGAGTATAGGATTGCAGTATCCATGTGCTCTCCCTTCCCTTCTTCAGGACCCCGTTGATTGATTTTGATAGCTTACATGTAACATGTTTGTGGTTGCGTCAGTGCCCATGTTCTCTTGATGTACAACACAACCTATCACCAAGCAGTCTGCAAAAGCTATACTTTCCAGGAGATTTCTGGGGACCCATATCTCATTTTTTTCCCTGTATGCCACCAAAAAAGGAAAGAACCGGCTACTTAATCCAGACCAGGATGGAGTTGTTTGTAAACTACAGCTCCCAGAATCCTCCAGCCAGCATAACCATGATTGTGTTGGTTGGGAGATTTGGGAAATTAAGGTCCGAAAAAAAAGAAATAAAGAAACCTTTTACCCCAAAGACTACTATAATCTTCACTTGGGAATTGTGACACCACAACCCTAACTTTAGAATGAATAGCTTTTCAATTAAAAGGGGCAAGCTAGGATTTCAAGAAATGGGAGTATCACTAAGAATTGTCTTCACGAATGTGACACAGGAGGATGGGAGCTGGCCTTCCACTTGCCAACTCAAGAGTATTTTAAGTGGGAAATATGAACAGGCGAGTGACATCTTCAATCATTCATTGACCTTGCAAGGTTGCCAAAGCTTTACTGTAATACCTGGCCAAGAACAAATAACTGGTTATGAGATTTTCCATTTAGGATATTGTCATCTTTTGGGTCATGTTTGTGGGTAGATTCCCTGATTGTGGGAGGGGAGGTGAATTCACTCTGCATTGTAGTCTGAACTTTAAAGTTTGGACGAAATCCTGGAACAATTTCATTATCCCCTTGTGATGGAAGCCACCAGTCTCCATCACTATATGGATACCATATGAGTTTCTCTCATCTCTTCTCCATATGTTCCAAATGTGTCAAATGTGGTCATAAAGATGGTGTTTATCTATCACTAGTTTATCATCCCATGAAGGAGATGGAAACAGTCTGTAATGGAAACAGTTTGTTAATTGAAACAAAATTTTGCCAAGAAAAACCCTTGATAAGGTCCCTTTGGAGTTGCCATAAGTTGGAAAGATCTTAAAGGCATATAGTAACCACAACAAATGAAATGTACCTTCCTTTAAGCTCAAAAATGTTGCCATGTCACAACTTATATTTGTCTAATGCAGGGGTGGTGGGTGTCTGGCTTTCTGGATGTCTTGGATCTCTACCCCAGAGGCTCCAGCCAGAATGGCCATGGAGATGAGACTATGGAAGATAAAGTTCAAAGTATCCAGAGGGTCAAAATATCCCTTACCCTTGCCATTTTAGACTTTGCTGCTAGAAAAAATGTGGGTCCCAGATCTTAAGCATACTAAGTCATTGTCCGTTCACATCAACATCAATCACAAAAGTTTGTGATTGTTGTTTCAGTACAGAAGCAGAGTGGATATTTTTTTTTTGTTTGTGCTACTCTGAAATGAAAGGGTGAAGGTCAGAATGAATGGGCGCAGGTCTGTACATACAATAAAATGGGAATGTTCAGAAATGATATTCTTTGTCCCAATTAAAGGAGACAGAGAGACACAAATTGAAGATTGTACAGGAAGTCATCAGTTTCCTTACTAAGGTTGAATGAAGAAACCTGTGTGGTTAGAAAACAAACTTGGAGAAAGTTCCTTCAACTTGCAGGAACTTTTTGTTGTTATTCCTAACACAGCATACACTTTGTAGGAGTTGGAGAAATTGGGCAGCTTTGCTGTAAAAACCTGTTTTGTGCATGTTTCACTAAGCACAAAAAACTGCATAGCTTTTTGAGGACACAACTGCACATCCAAATATTTTGTGATTTCACTATATGATTGGGAAGAGTGTAAACATCATGATGGAAGGTTCAAAATAGTGGCTTCAACCTTTGCTGGTTTGAATATTGTGCAAACTTAATGTTACACAGCACAACCCAACTGAAGCCATACAGTCAAAGGCTTTCATGGCCAGAATCACTGGGTTGCTGTGCGTTTTCCTGGCTGTATGGCCATATTCCAGAAACATTCTCTCCTGACATTTCACCCACATCTATGGCAGGCATTTAATCCTTGATTAAATGCTGATCGTGGTGGCAAATTGCAACATTCACACTTACCTCTAGCAGACAAGAGTTATTTTCCCCACCCTGGATATCCCACAGATATATAAACCTCACGATTTAGTTTCCAACAACCTCTGAGGATGCCTGCCATAGATGTGGGCGGAACATCAGGAGAGAATGCTTCCAGAACATAGCGTACCACCTGGAAAACTTACAACAACCCAGTGAAGCCTTTACTAGTTTGAATTTTGCACAAACCAATTGGCAGTCGGGGGGGGGGGGCTGAACTGACTAAAGCTGCAGCACACGTTTCAGTTTCCATATTGAAAGTGGTGCTGTTTCTGGGAAGCTGCTGTTTTCTGGTCAGACTGCATGACTTTTCCAAACAGATGCCTAGGTTTCCTATCTCGGTAGGGAGGAAATGCCRGGGTTTTCTAAAGTTTCATTGTCCTCAACATTTGTTGGAATCGAGAAAAATAGATTTACAATTCCGAACACAAACATAAGCTAAATCCATTCAACTTGAGTGTATGAACTGGTCCTATGTATGTATGAATGAATGAATGTGTTTTTGTAACGTAAGTGGTAGAGCACTGATGTGGAACATCTGGCCCTCTCAATGTTGTTGACTGCCATTCCCATCAGCCCTATCTGGCATGCCCAGGGAAGAAAGATGATGGGATTTGGAGTACAAGCCTATCTGYAAGACTACATCTTCCAGGTCCCTGCTGGAAGTTGAGCTTCCCTGCAATGCCCTGAGTATATATTATGTGCAATGAGAATGTCCTTCTAGATCAGTGGTTCTCAACCTGGGGTCCCCAGATGTTTTTGYCCTACATCTCCCAGAAATCCTAACAGCTGGTAAACTAGCTGGGATTTCTGGGAGTTGTAGGCCAAAAACATCTGGGGACCACAGGTTGAGAACCACTGTTCTAGATAATGTTTCCTTCAGCTAAAGACAGTTGGAGCATACAATAGTCAAAGATGAGCAAGATAATGAAAATCAGATCAGAACCTGTCAATAACAATGGTATTTCAGTTCTCCTGCTCTTGTTGCCTGTTACTCACCTAGGCGCTGAGTGTTTCTGAACATTGGAGACAGGATAAACAACAGATTCGTGGCCCAAAAGAGACGTCATATTTAAACTGATCCCGGTAATGTGATCAAATTCAGGCATCCATATCCACTTCTCTACTAGTAATTCTAATCCAATGACCACTCCCCACAAAAAGCGGAAAGATCTGAATATGGAATTTCAGGTCCTTAATATTTGCACTTTTACAATCTAAGATAATCACTTTATATAAGAAGTGCATTGATGATGTATTTAACCACTGATCTAAAATGTCCACACTAAACTTTGTATATGGTTTGAGCAATTGTCAGATTTTTGTGGATTGAGATCTCTTTTTCCAAAGCTTTAAAGTCCCCGAAGAAAGACATGTTTAGAATCGCTTACAAAATAGTTATTTGCTTGACATGTGCATTTCGAGTATGTAATACATATTATGTTAGCTTGTGCCTTGAGTTCCTTACAGTTGTATTTTTATTATATGCAGAGAATGCACTTTATACAACTGTCCACAGAGGGTTTTTGACGCTGCCTTGAATGTTGTCCTTTTTGTTATTATGCAAAAAGCTCAGCGAGTGAAAGGAGTTGCACGTTTTCCCTTAACATGTACCAGTGGATGAATAGGATCACTGGAATGTGTTTGGTAGGGATTGTTGGACATAGGATTAGCGGGGAAATTAATAACATGTAAAATGAGCTCATTGGAACATGAACCATCTAGGACAGCAAATACAATCAACGCAGAAATTCTAAATTTGTTGGGAGACGAGCAAAGGATGGGTTCAATGAAAATGTCATAAGAATGGCAGCTGTTACTTAAAGAGTGATTTTAGCACACTTTCTGCTCAGACTCACTTTCGACTGTTGTGGCTTTCTGAAGAATCACATGCAGACCAAATTGCTGGCCTTCTTATACATGCATAGCATGTCAGATTTTGTGCATTTAATTGCTTAGCTAACTTTCCTTTCTGTATCCCTTCCCCTATATTTTTGCACAAAAGAGTAGTGACCCAAAGAGAAGAAGATCTCAAAAGGATCGCCCAAACTTGCAATTAAATAAGCAGCCTCTATATTGGGATGTATTAAGAGATTTTTGTGTGGGTGGATGAGGCAGCATCATAGAACGCAAAAAAAAATATATTCCAACTTCTGCAGAATGTTTTCACATTTCTGTTATTTTTTTCCCACCAGCTGTAAGGAGAGACGGTTTTGTGTGTGCAAAGGAAAGGAGAGCAATGACAGGAAGTGCTTGGTGCAGGGAGTTTCTAGAAAAAAAGAGAAAGAGGAAACTGGGATGACTGAAGGGAAGTGGGAATGCAGCTGGCAGTACACTGAGAAGTAAGAACTTGGAGGAAAGGTAACACTATATAAGGCAGTGGTTTTCAACCTTCCGAATGCTGCGACCCCTTAATCCAGTTCCTCATGTGGTGACCCCCAACCATAACATTATTTTCGTTGCTACTTCATAACCATAATTTTGTTACTGTTAAGAATCGTAATATAAATATCTGATATACAGAATGTATTCTCATTCACTGAACCAAATTTGTCACAAATACCCAATATGCCCAAATTTGAATACTGGTGGGGTTGGGGGGGGGGGGGTTAATGTTGTCATTTGGGAGTTGTAGTTGCTGAGATTTATAGT